GGCGTGGAGTGGTTTATATAGCATCATATAAGGAACCGCTCGACCAATCAGATTGCTGGAAACTCTTTGCTCAGCTCTGAAATTATACTTATTACTATTATCAAATGATAATAAAAATAATAATAATACATGAGGCTACATGAAATTTAGGCAAGGTTAAAATAGAGGCACAATGGTCAGCAGAGGACATGCTGCAGGGCACCCCCTTTGCAATTGCAGGCTCACAAGGTTTTCAGTATGTTTTGAGATCATTGCGGGTGAGCTGCCTCTTGTGCTCCCACCCTCCCTCCTCTATGGTGGGTCAAGAGCGGGTATGTATAAAAACAATTCCACTGACTTGACAGTGTGACTGGTGCCAGGGGGGTGGACCGAGGTTGTGTTGCCATGGTAACCTTCCTGCTGTGGGCAGTCAGCACGACTGCCACAGTGCTACGGCACCTTCGTCCATGCTCATCAGTACCAATAAGTTTAATAATAATAATAATAATAATAATAATAATAACAATTATAAAATATTATACTATAACAAAAATTGTAAAACTCACATTGTATATGATAATAATGTTAATAACACCAACAATAACAATTCTTAAGGACAGGGACCCCAAAAATCTGAAATTAAAGAATTTGATGCTGATCATCATGTCTGTTTTGGTTCACATTGCTTATAAGTATAAGTGTTAAGTACTCCTCTGGGCTAGTACAATCTTTGTCTTGTCTGCAATGACAGTTTGGAAAAGGGAAAGTTTCCACATGCGCCCAATCAGGTGTTAATTTGGGTTTGTCTTTGACAAATTCAATTTAACTACTGTTTTGGAGACAACCAGGGTTAGAAGAGTGAACCCTATAACTCCCATGAGTGACCAAGATAGAATTTCTCCTTACGACATCAATACAATATCAAGCAGACAAGTGATGAGAATAAAAAACAATACAAAAATATCAAGGAATGATCAGTTGATCCAATACTAAATTCTCCACACCAACATTACAAGAACTGTATGGCAGACAGTAAGGAGAATTGCTACTGAGATCTTTGGAGTGAGAGGGTTGAGTATTTAGAACATAAATATCAAAGTGAAACATTCAGTGCATTGCAGCAATCTTTTACATGAGAACTGAAAATGATGACAACTATGACTTTTACCCATAGCTCTTACAAGTAACACCATCTTCTTGTTCAATAATCAGTTATTGTTTGAGATAACAAACAAGATAACTTATCAGTAATATCAGTAAATAGAGTACCTTTTGTGGGCCACTTGCAGATGGTGAAATCAGGGCTGGTTGTCCTGTGCTATCTCTTATTTTTTCATGCACGGCAGCTCCATACATTTTCAAGGACTGTGATGATGATGTTGTACAAACAACCTGCAGGGAAGGATGCCTCGAAAATGAAGCTGCTTCATCTGAAAATGATGGTGATGATGCTTTGGACTGATCTTGTCCAGAAGAAGAAACTGGGACTAGTGTTAGCTGAGATGTTGAACATGGAGGGGTGGTTGGTCCAACCCGGGGAGAAAGGCGTGGCGAGATCTTTGGAGACACTCTAGAGTGAGGAGATGATGGAGCACTTGTAGAATACCCACTGCCTTCTGAAGATGTCTGCCATTTTTTGGTTTGAAGTTCAGACTTTTCAAATTCTTTTTTACTTCCCTCTCTGAAATCAAACACAAGTGGATAATCCAAAATTAACTGTACCTTCAATTTTCCTATAATTGTAATTGATTTAGATGAAATTACAAAATAAAACTACAACATGTACAACATTTTGAAGGCATCTTGACCCTTACATCAAGTACATGGAGTGAAATTCTGATAGTTGAGGCATAAAATAATAAATAAAAAAAATTTGAGTGAGTGTATCAATTCTACTTAAAATTTGAGTCAAAATTTACCTTAAAATAGAATAATCACAGTTTTCATGGCTAGTTCTTACAATTTACTTGTGTATCACAAAAATTAGTTCAATTTTATTATAACCTTATTAATAATAACATAATCACTATATCTATGAATTACTTAAAGTGCCTCTGAGATCAAAATTTTCGTACAGCATTTTTTTCCATTTTCGTGTTCAGTGTGACTCCTTCAACTACTCTGCCAAATTTCAGTTTAAACCGAGCACCAGAAATATCTTTTTTCAGGCCGTTAAATTCACGATTTCGCCTCCACCATTATTTGATCATGTTCGGAAGTTGATCGCAGGACTCACAGGAAGTGACGTCAAAGGTTCAACACGAAAATCTCGCTTGGAAAAATGTCAAGCAAACATAACAGAGTGCTTTACTCTATTCTTACAAAAACTAAACAAAAATGACTGGGCATTGATGCGTAATTCAAAGCTGAAGTAATCGTGCAGACCATGCTGCAGGTGTTTCTCTCCATCGGAGCCTTGAATATAGATCAGAGCGGGAAAAACGGATGCGATTTGTGCGACCTCGCCGAGTAAACTTCAATCCGACAGAAATATTTGTGATCTACTCCGAACACCTCTCGGAGGACTGTTTCGAGAGATCTGCGTACTTTGAAGGATCTAGGCAAAGAATTCTGTCGGGTTCAGTGCTTGCCGTTCAAGAAGAGAAGGGACAAGAAAAACCGTCCTCAGTGCGATCTCGACGCCGGAGAGCGAAGTCTACGAACCCCCACGGATTTTGTCACCTTTACATATGAGCTGATCAATATCTACCTTTAACAACTCTCTGGCAGAATACCTTACACAAAGGAAAGTACTCGGTGAACATTGTAAATAAGAATGATAAAATAGCCGAATTGAGGATTGAGATTTCTGACCTCAAAGAGCTCACTTTTATACAAAAGAGATGAAAAATATAATTGTGTGCTCTGATTCTAAAAAAATCTGGCTTTAATATCAGCGAAAGCAGAACAAACAGCTTAAGACACAGAGCGTAAAAACACTTTAAAATGTAGGCTTGCAGCCAAAAAACCGAGAAAATGAAAATTTCTTTAAAAACCTGTCAAACTATCAACCATCTGACAGCCAAGTCAGCGTGCTATCAAAGGGTCTCAAATTCATCCCAACGCCCGTGACAAACGAATTTAAAATCGGGCCAACTTTTGCGAGATTTATTCGCAAGACGAATGCGCCTCCGTTACACCTTTCACGGACAAAACAAAGAACCACTTCTGTTTCATATCAAACTGAATGCCACCGGTTCAGTCTTCTATCGCCCTTCAGAGCTACTTGGAAAATTGTCATAACGCTACTTGCAGACTGCATCTAAGCCAAAAAATACTTTGTAACGCAATGAGGTCACGGCTCTAAAAGAGTTGAAACAAACTCTGCTTTAAACCTCACCGAAGCAACACAACAATAGTCATCATGAATAAGACAGAAAAAACAAAAGAGGCCAAAGTGCAACTCAACAACAGAGTTCACTTCAAACCTCTCAAAGCACCGATAGTAAAAAACACGTAGGAAAGGGTTAATGAGATCATTGACCAAATGCATCGGGGAAAACACATTGATGGCTTAGAAATGGCTTTCACAAACTCCCAATATCCGCCTTTGGATACACAATTAGCCATTGCTGAAAACTGTTTTTACTAATCACCCGATCATTTCTTACAAAAAAGGAAAATCCCTTATGACAAGCAAAAATACAGTTCGAAGACGATAAAGCGATGCGACCACAAAAGCCACATGGGGAGTCTGTGCCGTTCTGTGTTTATCTTTATTCGCATGGCAAAAATTCATCGTTTGTTGGCCCAAAACTATCCACAGAAGCTTCAGATAATTTCTGGGACAATTAATCATCTGAAAAAGTCGACATTTCCCGACTGACAACGAAACAGTTCTCAAAAAAGTAATTCATGTGATTCTCTGTGCAGTGAACAAAGAGAGTTGTGACAAAGCGAAGCATAAGTTTGTTGAGCCTTTGACATCATGATGACGTTTTTGCGGGCTCGGCTGGAACATGTTTTCAGTGATGGCGGACGATTTTTGGACAACTTTGAAGCGGTAAAAATTGGTCATCGAATGTTTGTTTTGAGTTTTTAATGGCAAAAAGAGTCTTAACTTGACCCAATTCAACGTTGTGTAAACAATTTAGGCCAAAATATGATGGTCAATTTTCGTCTCAGGGGCAATTTAAAAAATACATTCAGAAGTATGGGTCAAAATAATTTGGCTTCATCACCTTAGTTGATAAATAATGCAAATTGACCATCATAAAGAGTTTTAAAGCTGCCGTTTTGAGAGTTGGCACTTCATCATTTGATTTGATCAAGGGCTAAGGCTTGAAATTTCTGCTTTGAAATTCTTTGAGGTGACTGATTTACATCATCTACTCAGTTGATATTAAACCAAATTATCTTGTTACACTCCCCCACCCATGCAGCCACCATAGTTTCTGTAGCCCCATTTATAAGTCAAAACAGTTCAATACACCTACCTTTCCATCTTAATATCTTTGTCACTAATTGAACTAAAGTCGTTGTAATCCCCCAGTCCAACCTCCTGAGAGAAAAACAATTCAAAGGTGGTTTCATTGATCCTTTTATCCCACGTGTGACCAACAAAGAATTTCTCCTTACAATATCAATAAAATAATAAGAAGAAAAGTGATAATCCAATAGCAAATCATCTATATTAACATCACAAGAATTGTATGGCAGACAGCAAGAAAAATTACTTATTAAGAGATCTCGGGAGTTAAGGATAAAAGAAAGAATGATGTATTTTCATCTAATCATGGGCATGATTCTATCTTTGTTTAACACCAAGACTTAGGAAGCAGAATGATGTAGTGAAAAAGTTCGTACCTGGTGCCTTACATATGGAGGATCATAGTAAGTAGCAGGACCATAATTTGCCCCAGATGGAGGCCCTACATCCTCATCACTAAGGCGGCGTTGTCTTTTGTAAGGTGGGCCTCCATAGTAGCCATAGCTTGATGACCTTACAACAGGAAGTTAAAAGAAAAAATGTAAAGTCGATATTTCTTAATTTTATGTTTTATATAGAACAAAGAAAGTGGACCAAAAAGTTAGTTAATCCTTGAAATACAGGCATTATATGTGGAACAAGTACAGAACAGATAGGATAAATTTAACTGTAATGTATGGTTATTTAGGAAACATTTCGTTCACCTAATATTGACAATTCATATACACATGCAAACAAATTTGTTCAATTTCAAACAGGTGAAAAACACCTTTTAAAACACTGAAAACCCAAAATTTAATATAACTCCATAGACAAGTTCATTATAAAAACATATTTCTACTTTGCAAAAGGGAAAAATCCTCGCTGTAGAGAATCGTGCATCATACGATCGTGCATCATACGTATCTAATACTGCAGTTCAAAATATATGAACTTCATATGCACATTGCATCTGATTTATCATCATGGGTTTATTACGAATCAACTTTACGGCCTGTTCCCAGTTGGCTTGTTAGCTCAATTGGTA